CCAATCCTTGTCTCTGTCCATGTATCTAATACGCAACAGCTCAGTCGGGGAAATGTCACATTTTTCATGCAAGTATTTCACTAATAACTCCGAACTAAATCGCTTTATCTCTTCCTCGCGTAAGAAAAATTTAGAATAATTCTTATGATGACCATATGAGTCATATTCGACCTTAAACTCGTACCTTTTTCCTTTCATAGACAGCATTTTCAGTATAAACAAATACACGCTCGAATATACCGAGAAAAACACAGCAAAGTTTTGAGACAAAACGTGTATGCCTTTGTGGGCGGGTCGCTAACGCTTTGTGGGCGTGGCGGTCGTGCGAAATTTTAGTGGCTCGCACACTTCGGTGACATCCGTAATATAATAGAATTGATTATTAAGATTATCAATTCAGTGCATATTTCTTGGTTTTAGCATGTAAATGGATTGACTTTAAGCATTTAACTCATTCAGCCAGAATGTGCCCCTACTTTTTTTCACTTGTCTAACGCCAGGTTTTTAACATGTCTTAGAACCCTGTATACGTATATGTGTCTGTTTATGTGATAATGGCATGGCTGGACAGGAGCTAGCTAGGTTTTAATCCAGGGGCCGGTTGTTCAAAGGTGGGTTAACGCTAACCCTAGGTTAAAATTTAACCTGCTGTTTTAGTTCGTGTATTTCTGCATGTCTGTTTATTTCAAAACTTCAGAGAACTATCAATCCAGACAAGATCTCTGAAGAAATATTTCCAAATTTATAGACAAGCTGTCAGGAAGTTTGCTTTGAATGTTAGGTTAACCTACGGTTAAGCTAACCCAGCTTTGAACAACTGGCCCCAGGATGGTGTGTTTATATAGACGGAATACACCCCGCCTGGCAGGGATGATAGAGTGCTTGTATGAGAATTTCTTGTGCTGGCAAGTGTGATCCCGGCAACAAATAATGAGATCCTGTCTAGACCAGAAAGAAGTAGAATAATTCACTTTACTGTAAACAGTCGATAGAAGCAGGATCGTCCCAAATGTCTAGCCTGGGATCATATTAAATAGGCCTTAAAAGCAATTTATAATTTGCATAAGCCGCATTGTCCCACAACTTTATTGTTTTACTCGATCTAATGTCAGATGATTTTACCTGTCAGTGCTATCACTCAATGGGTTACTGAAACAAGTAGAACTTGATTTAACCTCACTTGTATCTCCAATACAACTGAGGTTAAATCATAACCATATGAATGTTTTCTGGAATGAGACAATAGCATATTAAATCACAAATACCAACAACATTGCCCTTACATTTTATACCTATCTAATGGGTTTGGCAAAAATTCTTTCTCATGTTGTAAACTCTATCCTACATAACAGAATGATTACAAATAAATTATTGATTTCTTTTCGTTGGAAAATTTGAGTCACTATGGTCAATTTGAGTCACTATGGTCAATTTGAGTCCCAGAAATCATGGTCCCACAGTCAAAATTTCAAATTTTAACCCATGAAGAACTTTGCATCGCACCCTTTATTGTATTCCTGTCTAATGCCAGACAATTTCTTTGTGAGTGGGAGAGTGATGGTGGTTAATTGGTTAAGGATGCCAAGTTATATCATGCTTTCAATAAGTAACAGAGTTGTAACTTCTAACTTAACACTTGTCCGGGGAAGTGAATATCATTGCCACAAAAGGCTGGGCATCTTTAAATTTATGTTTTCATTGCCGGATAATTTTTTTATACAGTCCATGTTGTACTTGTGCATGGATTCAAATTTTGTTTTTTTGTGAGTCAAAGCTAGATCTGAGGCATCTAGAGCAGTGGAAGAAAGGGTCGACATGTTGTCCCCTTAATTTATACCCCCTACCTACAGTAGGTAACCCAGTGGCCATTGTCTGATGGCAAGTGAATTTTATTCAGGGCAACTAATTTTCCTATCCAACTTGGCAAATTGAACTTGCCCTAAGGACAAGTGGTCAAAATAGTAAAGTTATACTACTGACTACTGAGTAAAGTATATGAGCTACAGTATCATGGTAATAAAAACTCTGGAATAAGGTATGCGGTTATTTTCAAAAAATTTACATCATCACTCATCAAATAGGTTGTTGAAGAAGTTTGAAGGAGCCTCAATCAACCCGAAGAAGCAGAAGAAAGCGCATACATGAGGAATTGTGAAAATCAGCAGCTGATTGACCAATTGGACCCACTTATTTACTATGGTATTTCAAAAGGAGTTATGAAGCCACCACATGAACAGTGATCTGGTAATTAAATCGTATCATTTTGTTTTTTGATTAATTAGAGTACCGGTACCAACATTGGATTCATTAGCACCGACATTAGGTGTCGTTAATAGAACATAATGATGAAAATTGCATTTTGGTTTATACTGTACCGGTAACTAATAAATTATATGAAAAATCAAAATTGCATTGTTTAGCTCTCAAAATATCACAAAGCTTTTATTACAAATGTAACTTAATTAATATTATTTTTTATGTATGTAATTCTATAGAAAGTACTTCTGATCACCTACAGCAATGAAGAACATTTAATTCACTCTTCAAATCAAAAAGCCAACCTGCTAAGAGCAAACTGGACATCATAAACTTTGTTGAGGTGAGGTAAGTTATAGTTTCATTTTATAAAATTCATTTAGTAAGGCCTGAATCAAATTTAGTGTACATATACATCTTAGTTTTGAGCTTTCCTATATAGTTAACTTGAGATAAGTTAATATGGGCTAACATCTGCCGACTGAGTGTCTCTTGTTCCATCCATCATACATCCTTTTCATAAATGGCTGCCGATTAAAAATCTTTTATGTGCATATAAATTGGCCCAACTAGCCTCGTACCCATGTTAAGATTTCAAAGGATATAATTTTAATCGGCAGCCATTTATGAAAAGGGTGTATTGTATTTCGCTCTGCATGTCTATAACCCCAGGGGATAGCTTGTTAGTGAAAACATAAGCTGTTAAATCATGAGGGTGTGTAGTTGTTACCAAAACTATTTTAATTTGTGCTTTTTTCCTCAAAAGGAAGGAGACACAGACTTGACTACCTGGCTACAAATGAGGCCCGCTGACATACTGTATCAGGGCTGATCATGACATGGAACTACTGGCAACATTCGAGAATAGCGAAACCGTAAAAGCCGTCGTTTACTTCCTGGCGTTGTTCTACTGTACCTGCTCGACGTAAGACTACCCATCCACTCATCCAGACTCATCAGTCTGACATGGTAAAGACTTTTCAAGAAATTGAACAATATTGCTACGTGTGAGAACTTTTACATTTATCTATCAGTAATTACTTTAATAACCTATTCATGTATAGCTGGTAAATATATTATTTTAAACATTCTCAATTGTTTTTATATTGTAGGAGGGCAACAGCAAAAAATCATGCCAAGATTATTATTCTAGTTCAATATTGTCATTTAAGAAAAATATTCTTAAAAGCCATGAACACCGGATCGAACTAGAATAATTTTCTTAGCAGGATTTCAATTCAAGACAATTTTTCTAATTTTGTCCCATGGGTAAGTAAAATTTTCTTATTAAGATTATTTTTCTTATTTCAAGAAAACGTTCTAGCAAAATTTTCTTATTACTAGAAAATAATTCTTGGGAAACTAAGAATTTTTTTCTAGAAATAAGAACATTTTGCTAGAACGTTTTCTTGAAATAAGAAAAATATTCTTGATAAGAAAATTTTACTTACCCACGGGACAAAATTAGAAAAAATTTCTTACCGAGAATTTTGTTCTAACCAAGAATTTTGTTCTAACCAAGATTAATTTTCTTATTTTAAGAAAAAATTTCTTGAAATCTGATTCTTACCTAGAATATTTTACTTACCCACGGGACAAGTAAAATTTTCTTAAAACAAGTAATTTTGTACTTAAAATAAGTAATATTTTCTTAAAACAAGAAATTGATTTTTTGCAGTGTGTTACACCAAACACGAGATTGCGTGGGAAAACTCTAAAGTAATTACCACAAACAATCGCTATGGTCAAAGACTTTGCCTAGAAGCGTGGCATATAAATATGAGTCATCATGCTTTGAATAGAGATGACGGCACCTATTTGCCAGAAGAATATATGCATCTTCTTGGCAGGTGACGTCATCCCTTGGGTATTTAAGAAGCTACGATCGCAGTTTTAGATCACCCCTGATGAAGACACTAGATTGGAGTGTCGAAACGTTGGGTATTGATTACAATTCGACTGGGCTTTGTAATCATTTATTTAAACCAGAGTAGCGAGCGAAACATGATTGATATACCTGGTTGCAGTGAACGAACAAACTTTTAGAAGCTTCCTACGCCCCTGTGTGTAATATAAACTGCATAATTCATAATTGTGTGACAAGATAAAGACCTCTAAGCTCAATATCTCAATCACGGAACAAGGCTGTATAGCCAAGACTAAGTCCTTTCTGGAAGGATGATTGTGTTCTCATGTCAATATATTCCATCAGATACCTGAGCGTGGAACTCATCGAGCTCCGCATTAAGGTTTTCCACGGTTATGTTTCTCTTCTTTGCACCCCTAAAACAGTAAAACGACAATTATACAAGGTAAAAGACTGACCAAATGGAAAGTTATATTGGATCGTTCGTCAAAAAAAAACTACTTTCTTTCTACAGTCTGTATACTTGTCTGTCATCCGGGTGTTGTTTTAAAGCTAAAGCGCGTGCATATCTACAAGGAGACCTGGACAATTAGACTGGGGGGCATATCTACTAGGAGATTTGGACCGGGGCTCCAAGTTTACCGGGAGGTTAAAATCCGCATCCGCTGTGACAACGGACGTCCGAACGCGCGACTCCATAGTAAAGTCGATTTAAATAATGATATATACTTACTCTTGCAGCATCCCAGCGGCTGCGACAGCTGTAAAAGAGAAACAAAATGTACACAATGGTAACAGAATACAATTCTTCTAGAAAACGTATCAACAAATTATTTGTTCTAATATAATACTTAGCGCACTTTACTTTGTTGGAATTATTTCAAGCTCTTGGTTAACCTTGAAATAAAACACACATACAATTAACAAAAAGTGCAAAATAGAGGTTAAGATACTCCCGTCAACATGAAACAAAGGACCAGATCTTCATATCGTAATATACTGTATAAGACTATAGCTTATAATTTAACTAATTTTTATTCCGCAAAATAATGTCAGTAAAGATGTCAGTCTTTGCTTTGCATTACCATTAAAATTGCTCTGACGATTAAAATTGCTCTGACGAGTTAAACAATGTGAGAACATGATAGAATGTTTGCAGGCAGAGTAAACACATAGGCATCGATGCAAATTGGTAAACAAAATGACGTTACCAGTGATGTCTAAATAGCGATCAGAGATGTCCAAATATCGGTCAGAGTTTCGCAAGGGACTGCAGCTTTGCCAAAGTTGTAAAGAACATTACCTTTGAATTAATATACTGATGAATAAGCATCCGTAATTCTGAGTTCTGAAATAAAATACTTTTTTGTAAGTGACATTTCGGGAACTAGGGGATAGAAGTTTTAGTTAGAGTAAAAGTAAAGTTAGGATAAATAGGATTGAAGTAAAGATTAAAGTTAGGATCAAAATGGTCCACAATGCTGAAAGAAATGCTTCTCAATGCAATACACCCTTTCGGAAAGTACGTCATTTTGGATATGGAGCCTCGTTTTCGTGTGTAAGCCTTATGTCTCAATCACGAAAGCGAGACTCTATGGTCAACGTGCCATACTTTCCTCAACAGTGTGGTAGGTCATAATTACATTTTGGCGATTATTGCACTAGCCTGCGCGCAGTCCCAGACTCCCAAAAGTAGTAGGCTACTATTGCACTGGGTTTGAATGAATCTCATGTAAAGAATTCGTAAATTATATAAACCACTTTTTTCGCAAAAACAAAATGACGCTTCCCAAAATTTCACATGTGGTTTCTGTTTTAAGGCTGATTTCCACTGTTGCGTTTTTCATACGCACGTATACGCAGGTAAAACTTTAAATTTTTAGACCTCATGTTAACGTTTTTTAGACCTCATGTTAACGAATATGCATATGTTCTTTTGTGCACCGAAAGCATATGCACCTTTCGGTCTGTCTGACCATAACACTATTGTCGCAGAGCCTAATGTCATAGCGCCAAAAGGCAACAATAAGAAAGTAATAATAAGACGGGACTATCGGGCAAGTCGTAAAGCTGAAATGGGAAGATATTTGAGCCTCTTTGATTGGTCACAGTTGTTTGCTCCCTTGGATAGTAGTGAGGAAAAGTGGTTGGTTTTCCATGAAGTAATACACAATGGGCTTAACTTATTAATGCCGGAAAAACGTATGGAAGTCAGCACTGTTGATGCACCATGGATGAATAAGAAATGAAAGTCCTTGATTGCCAAAAGGCGTTTAATAAGAATGGAAACGGTTCCCTTGATTTTAAATACTACAGGAATTTAGTCAACCGTGAAAGAAAGGCATGCAGAGGGAAGTATTATGAATCAAACATACAAAATCTTAAGGGTGAGAACCCTAAGAGATGGTGGAGTGAAGCGAAACGTTTAAGTGGTATGAAAGAAAAGAACAGCGATCTGTCCAGTCAAATAAAAATCGACGAGTTCTCTAACTTTCCACAACGTGAACAGGCAAATATCATTAATACAGCTTTCTTGGAGCCCATTGAGGAGTACAGATTGGTCGTTCCACCACCATGCCGCGACTTGGAAGAATCAACGGAGGTCCTAACTGTGACAGAAATGCGCGTAGAGAAGGCCCTAGCAAAACTCAACCCTGGAAAAGCGTCTGGTCCTGATAACATTCCAAATTGGCTCCTAAGAGATTATTCCAGAATTGTTGCTCTCCCAATTATGAATATTATTAATACTTCATATCGTGAACAGCAATTGCCTGCATGCTGGAAGATGTATCACCACTGCCCAAGAAGAAGCCGGTTAAGGACCTAAAGAAAGACTTAAGACCAATCTCGTTAACCCCTAGCGTATCCAAGGTTGCGGATGGGTTTGTGGTTGAGGATTACGTGAAGCCTGCCATTTTAAAAGTTATCGACCCAAACCAGAACGGAACAATCCCGAATTCATCTACTATTATCGCGCTAATTAATATGTTACATTACTGGTTTTTAGGAACAGATGGAAATGGCTCAACCATTAGGACAATTCTGTTTGACTACAGTAAAGCATTCGACTTAATCGACCACGGTATACTGATTGATAAACCAAGCAGATTGGAATTACCTCCAAGTGTTATAAACTGGATAATTGATTTTCTCACCGATAGATTTCAAATAGTGCAATTAAAACGGGCGAGAGTTCCACCACAAGATTTAGCGCTGTTCTATACGTCGTGTGTCAGGTCAGTTGTGGATTACGCGATTCCTGCCTTTTACCATTGTCTCCCCCAATATCTGAAGCGTGAGTTAGTGCGTCTCGAGAAAAGAGCTATACCAATTATTATGCCGGAAGTTGACTATCTAACAGGTTTGGAACGATTAGATATTAAGCCCATGAAGGATCATCATGAATATTTATGTGACAAACTTTTTAAGTCTATTATTCTTAATCCTGATCACAAACTTAATAGCTTATTACCAGCAAGATATAACACGAATTATAACCTGAGAAATCAAAGGAACTTCAACCCCCACAAATCATGACTAATACAACAATGAATTCCTTTATCTTCTCTATGTGTAGCGCATGAAACTTGGTGTTTATTTATTGGATGTTCGTATACAATTATTAGTGTAAATTAGCCCTTTAAACTTTTTATCGTAATTACTATTACAATAGTCATACAATTGTTTGAGTAAATACACATACAATTATTAGAGTAAATTAACCTTTTAAACTTTTTACTGTAATCACTATTAAAATAGTAAATTATTCATGTAATATATCAAATTTTCTTGTCCAATTAGCAAATTGTAAATTACGCAATTCAGCTGTAAAGCTGCGATGTAATTATTTTAATAAATCCAAATCCGTTTAAATGTTACTTATGAAATAACCAAATAAATAAAGCAACAGTATTTAGTGTTCCGCAAGTTTTAGTATGCATTTGTTAACTTATTTTTTAAATTTTTAAAAAATAGAAGGATTGAATGTTTTACGTGTGTGTACGTGCGTACGAAAAACGCAACAGTGGACAAATCAGCCGTTACATATACGAAAGCTTATTTCACACGTTGATTCAACATGTGTCGTATCCCAAATCCACACGTTGATTTCAAATGTGAGATCCAAATGTGCGGTGTCCCAATCACTGGAAAAAATTGAAAATCCATAGAAGGTCATAGAATGGAAATTGTATGGACCTTTATTGAAAATAGAATGAATTTTGGTTATCCATAATAATTGTATATTTTCCATATTATGGATATAGTATCAAAATAGGATGGTATACTATGGATTTAGTGGTGCAATTGCAAATTTCGTAGTATGGATTTCACTTTTTTTCCAGTGAATTCCACATGGATTTCATATTATGAAGGCTTGTGGGACGTATAGCAAGCGTGTGTGAACTATTACCTGTTGTTCTAGAGCATCAGTTTCTTGAATCAAAGCAGCGCGTTCAGTCAACACAGAAAGATATTTCTCAAAACCTTCACTCAATGCATCCCAGACATGTTGCTTAGAACTATCAATCACGCTCGTCATTTTTTCCCAATACTCTGCATTCCAACTAACAAAAATAATCAGAAACAATTATTATTTAATTAAGACAATTCTTTATATTCAGGCCTTGTAGGCTTGCGTCAGAACCATATAGAAAATGTCTTATGTACACTAGATAGCGCATTTCTTTTAGTAAAATTGAAGCCAAGAATATTCCAGCGGTTACCCCCATTTGAATAGATGGCGGCCATGTTGAAGTTTCCCACTCGCTAATAAACGCTTAAAAAACAATAACTTTCATCATTTGAATAGTTTAAAAATGTATTTGGAATACAGGTTTACTCTCGATTTCAATTTGCTTTTCAAAACTGACTTCCAATGTTTACTTGTAAATTCCAAATGTTCGTTGTAAAGTTCCGAAGTTTGTTTCGAAGTTCGTTCCGATGATTTACGATAATCAAGTTTAGTAAGTTGTAATTGGGTAGTTAAGTGAACCAGCCAATCAAATCGCTTGCTATTGAATCATCGTAAATCATCGTAACGAACGTCGAAACAAACTTCGGAACATTACAACGAACATTCCGAATTTACAAGTAAACAATGGAAGTCAGTTTTGAAAAGCAAATTGAAATAGAGAGTAACTTAATGTTTAAGTTCCCTGTTTAAAAAATAGAAAACATACGAGTCTTCTCATTTCATGGGAATATCCTGAGTCTGCAATCACGGCTTCAATTTTTTAATTGCAGAATAATTAGATGCACTATCTAGTGTATATAAGATATCTAAGGTATGCAGAACACCTTATAGCGCTTTTGTATAAGTAAACCAAAGTAAAGGCCGTAGAGGCTGATTCGGTAATTTGACGTCCGAGTTAAAAACGTCGCTTGTAAGCTCCCAACTTTCCATTGCGATCTCTTTATTCAAGCTTATACCTCGCATTACGACCTGCATCCGGACAAGCATTCTTGAATGTAGTTTTCTTTGATTCTCTAATAAACACAACGTAGCATTCGAGGTTAGAATTATGGTAAGTCCCATTGAACTCTATATATACTGGAGCAAGCACTGTAGTAGGCTATTCTTATAGTATGATAATACGAGGGTTAATACTCAATGGGCCTATTCCCAAATGAGCAAAATTTTGATCTAGATAAGTTTAGACAAAAATTTCATCATAGCTTGAAAGAGGCTTTTTATGTTACTAAAGATCTAATGAAAAATGTGTCATGTTCGTTTTGTAAGGGTTGTTGTAATTGGCGTAAGCTGTAGCATATACCCTGCTATGATTGACAGGTTGTATTTATATTTAGTATATTCTTGTGTTTGTGCAGTGATGTTAAATTGGCAAAGCATAATAAATAAATATACATGGAGCTAACTGGTAAGGACTTGGTTTTGTTGATCAGTACTCACTTCAAAACTTGATGATTTTCTTCAACGAAATTTCTTAACTTCGTGACGACTTCGTTAGGGTGAATAAGCTCGGGAACAACTAAAAAAATCAAATTTTTATTTTCTTGTTGATTTGCTTCGCGATAATTGTTTCATTTTTGAGAAAACACTTACCTTTTGCAGAACTTAGTGATTTAGCCTTCGAATCCTATGTTTCAATTCTCTCATCATCAATCAACGAGTTAGTTAATTACTCTATAGGTGTGATAGCCGAACACAAAATGGCCAGAGAACGTCTCAAATTTCAATTAATCTTACCATTCATCTACGTCAACAATATTTTTCGTGTCATTTTCACCAACAAAGAAATATCTTAAGTTGTATATATCATTTTCATTCTCCACGCCCAACGCCTGAAACACAACATCAACAACGGTTTTTATCATCAGACTAATTGAAACAAGTAAATAAAACAAAATTGATGCTTGTGATGTTACTCCGAGTGTATACCCACATCGTATTCACCTGAGTACATTACACCAACACAGAAAAAAACATAAAACAAAATTCTTACTGCAAAAATGGCATCAAGCCTCATTAGGGATTGCTCGTCCTTCTCAAGCGGAGCAAGTAGTCTGTTTAACTTCGCTTCAACTAAAAATCCCTAAACAAAACATTACTAGTTATTATAACACTTGCAAGCATGGTAATTTTGCTGGTACTCTTTCATTATTTTAGGCCTGGGTTGTAAAAACGTGTCGAAACCTAAGACTTTTTCGTGAATGCTTTCGCAGGTTTGGCCAATTTTGGTCAATCATAGATCAATTTCACATCGTTTGATCATCTGACTCAACCATAGATGAATTTGAGTCATCGAACGACGGTGGTAACTGAATGAAAAATGTTGTCATGCCTGCATTCACTTACAGCTTCATCTGAGAGTAATTCCAATATCGTCTTGATCGTTGAAAGAGATAAGTTTGATTTGCCAACACATTGTTTACTATGAACAGTTGAAGTACTTTTATCTTGATCTTCCTTCGACACATCTACAACACAAAGACTGGTTTGCTTTATTTATACCACGAAACCCGGACAGCAGGGTCAGAAGGGCGTCCAGGCGTTCTAGAACAATAAATGGACGCCCAAATTCTGGGGGGAAAAAGAAATTATTTTCAATTATATCCCTAAGTATATTAATTAATATATCTGAAACGAAATAGTTTCAATTCTCATTATTATTATACATTTGACATTTTGATCAATTTGATGGTGTACCTGGCTGAATGAAAATGTCATAGTTAAGTAAAGCCCGTTTTCCACTCACGTATTTCCCCGCCGCTGGGGAAAAATTTCGCCACCGAAAAAGTTCATTTGTTGTTCTTTCGCGCCGTCAACGAAAGGTCAAACAGAAGTTGAAAATTTTAAGCAACTGTAGCAGGAGAACAAATTTCTTCAGCGGCGAATGAATGTAAAAAAAAAGATTTCTTTGTCAAAATTTTTCGCCAGCGGCGGCGAAATAACGGAGTGGAAAATGGGCATAAAGAAGCATAGCGGCACAAACTCACAACTCCAAGTGTGTTTGAAAAATTTCGAACGAGCTTGGAACAGATACTGGCATGAAGCAACGTCTTAAAAGGTCCCCCCTCTTTACTGTAGATATATCGTTGTACCAAAATTGGACGCCCTCTCTTAGGACCCTGGCTAAAAGCCTGCCGGACAGCACTGTCCGCCTGTCACTACAGCCTACAACTAGAAATTACTATCGCAAGGAAAGTGCTGCCTCCCCCCCCCCCCCCCCCCCCCCCCC